AAGGAAGAGAAGAAACCTCTCAGAAAAGAGAAGGAAGAGAAGAAACCTCTTAAAGAAGAGAAAGCTGAGATAGAACATCTTAAAAAAGAGAAGGAAGAGAAGAAACCTCCTAAGGAAGAGAAGGAAGAGAAGAAACCTCTTAAAGCAGAGAAGGAAGAGAAGAAACCTCTTAAAGCAGAGAAGGAAGAGAAGAAACCTCTTAAGGAAGAAGAAAAGAAGAAACCTTTAATAAAACCCATTGAAGAAAAAGAAATTAGCCATCCTTCAAAAGAGAAGAAACTACCTGAGAAAGGAGTCACGAGACTGCCCAAAGACATTAAGAAATCATTCAAAGAGGACAAGGAACCTCCTAAAGAAGCGATAGAAATTGGGAAATCTCCTAAAGAAGAAAAAGTAGAGGTGCCTCCCAAAAAAGAGAAAGAAGCGAAGAAACCCTCTAAGGCTAAAACACCACATATAGAGGAGAAAAAAGTCACCCACCCTCCAAAAGTAGAAAAAGAGGAAAAGGAACCACCTCTAAAAGAAGAAGAGACAAAAACTCTTAAAGAAGAGAAAGAAGTTAAGAAATCTAAGGAAGTATCAAAACCTTCCGAAGATGAGAAGGAGAAGAAACAACCAAGAGAGGAGAAACATGTCAAAGAACAAAAGAAATCCCTTAAAGATGAGAAAGCAGAGAAAAAATTACACAAAGAAAAGGCAGTCTTAAAAACATCTAAGAAAGAGATGGTTGAGAAAGTAGAGAAGGAGGTGAAGACCACAGAACCAAAAGAAGTAACAAAACCTCCAAAGGAAAAGAAAGAAGTGAAAAAACCCTCAAAGGATGACAAAGAAGAAATAAAACCATCCATGGAGGAGAAAGAAATTAAACCTATAAGAGAACAAAAGGAAAAAGAAGTTAAGGAACAATCTAAAGATGAGGTTCCATCCAAGGAAGCAAGGGGAGAAATACTTCATCCAAGGAAAGAAAAGGAATCAAGAAAGCCTTTGAAAGAAACAAAAGATCAAGAAAAACCACCCAAAGAAGTAAAGAAGATTTCAGAAGAGCCAGAAAAGATCATTAAAGAGAAGAAACCAACAGCAGAAATTTCTAAAGAGGTGAAAGAGGACATAAAGAAAGAGAGACCTTCTAAAGAAAGGGCAGTACCAAAGGAGTCAGCAAAGGAAAAACAAGTAGTTAAAGAACCAACAAAACCTTCTAGAGAGGATGAAAAAGAACCAAAGAAGCCTATCAAAGAAGAAAGAGAACTGAAGAAGCTCCCCAAAGTACCTGTCCAAAAGAAACCTTCCAAAGAAAAGAAAGAGGAGATTCACAAAATAGAAAAAGTTAAAAAGCCTTCCAAAGAGGAGAAAGAAATCAAGACTCCCAAAGAAGACAAAGAACCTGTGAAAAAAAGAATCACAAAGACAGGTACATGTACAGTACAGAGGTTTTATTTTCATAATGTAAAGATCCACAACACTATTTCCTCTGATTGGCTGCCCCTCAGAAACAAAAGATTTGAACAGCGAGAAAGAGGATATTAAGGATATCATGTCTCTATCGAAGAAAAAGAAAAAACTCATTTGACTCATTACAATAAATATCTTTAAAACGTTGTTTGTTCTTTTGGATGAATGTTGTTGACCCGTAAGAAGAATAGTGATGTATAGTTTTCATAACAATATAATATTTAGATGCATTTATTTTGTGGGGAATATAATTAATCCGTTTTCTAAAAATGTTTGAAGCAGCTTTTCCTTTTTACTTTAGAGCCCAAAAAGCCTGTAAGAGGAATTAAAATTGTCAAGAAGGAGGTTGCATCTGTTCTTAAGAAGGAACATCTCAATGTTACAAAAGCAGGTGAGACTATGCTGGACTATTGGTTAATATATGTAAGGCATGAATCACCGCATTTTCTTGTTTTCTCTGCAATGTGTAAGTTAAAGCTATTCTGAGGGAGATATAATGCCTCATTGATTTTTCAAGTCATTCAAGAAATACATTTAAGCATGTTCTAATTCGTACTTTGTTTGCTGACACTGACAGTGTAATGCCTAATGAGAAAAGATTTTCATGCGGAATATAAAAAAATTAATAGAAAGTGTTAATGCATAAGCAACAATCTTTAGAAATCGATGTCTTATTTTCCACTAGAAGCAGCTCCGAAGGAGCCTAAGAAGGAGCCAACGCTAAAAGTAAAGCCTACACCTGTAAAACCAGGTAAGGTAAATATGATGATGGAGTTGAAACA